TTTTAAATAAAAATTGTGGTAAACTAGGTCAGAATGAAATTCTGTGATTGGAAGTTACATGCTGAGTAACTGCTTAGCATGACCAGTGGAACAACTGGTTTCAGTTTCTGCTTTTGTTTTTCAAAATGAACCCACCTGATGGTCAATCACAAAAGATCGGCCACAGCAGAAACCTCCAATAGAAGCGAGGGAATTCTCCATGTTGGCACTAATAAGATCAATGTCATCAATCTGCAAAAAAGTGGGACAGTAGTAGTTATTGTTCAATTTAAAAGAAAAAATAAAAACCCATGTCAAGCCTGCAGACAAAATTTCAGTCCTGATCACGTCAACATCTCCGTTCAAACACACTACGTACATGCCAAGTGAAGGGTAAACCATACAAAATTTATTGCTACAAGGACGGATGTGTCGAAGTGCACCTCTGAAAGGGTCTCACTTTACACTTTTTGGCCATTTCATCATGCACACACAATTTACTCACAGCGGTAGGAGAGAGAGAAATTAAAAGAAAATGAAATCCGGGGCACCTGGGTGGCTCAGTCATTAAGCGTCTGCCTTCGGCTCAGGTCATGATCCCAGGGTCCTGGGATCGAGCCCCATGTCGGGCTCCCTGCTCAGCGAAGAGCCTGCTTCTCCCTCTCCCTCTGCCTGCCTCTCTGCCTACTTGTTCTCTCTATCTCTCTGTCAAATAAATAAATAAAATCTTAAAAAAAAAAAAAAAATGAAATCCAAAACTGCTTCATACCAAAAATATTCAGAGGTACAAAATAAGATCATTTCCTTGCTTAAACAGTGTCCAGCTGGCCTTCCCTCAGAAGGTACTTGAGAGAAATACAAACAAATCTATCAGAGTTTTGAGCATTTCATCCCTACATTCAATTTACCTTTCAACTTTTCAAAAATAAAATCAATTACTGTGTACCCGTGGGCTTCTGAGTCCCGCCCATCTTCTCAACTCAGTGGTCCGCTGACCCTCACCTTGTGCACCAGCACCGGCTCCGGCTCCAGCACCAAGTGCATGCTGGGCACACAGGAGCCATTCAAAATCACTCACTGATGGCCGCGATGACAACTGGTCCAAGCACAGCTGGGGGTTTCTAAATGGTCCACAGACCCAACAAGGAAATCTGTGTACTCTTTTTTAAAAAAACCTTTCATTATGAAAAATCTCAGTCATATACAAAAGTAGAGAGAATAGAGTGAACAATTCTCATCACCAGATTCAGTAATTATCCGTTCACGGACAACCCATTGCCTTGTATAGCTCCCTGCTGCCCTCATTATTTCTTTGGAGCAAATCCCAGACTTCATATGGTTTCATCTATAAGTATTTCAGTGTGCATTTCTGAAGGATATGGACACTTTCAAAAACATAATCACAAAACTATTATCACACCTAAAAAATGAAAAATTTCTTAATATCACCAAATATTCAGTGTTCAAATACCTGTCTGACAAAGCTCGTTTTCTGTAGTATTTGCTGGAATCAGGATCCAAATAAGGTCCATATATTCTGCACTTTTCCTTAGTGCATTTAATCACCAAATGTCAGTCTGTCTTTGAGGAGTATATGTCAGTCTAACTTCGTGTGATATTTGTTCTGCTCTCCATTTTTCTCTGGACCGTATTGGTAGTGGGATACAGATAATCTAAGGTGATTTTCATGCTCTTTAGTTCAACTTTTTAACACAGGTTGCAAAACTTTTATGCACAGGATTTGCAGAAAAGTTCCCTTCAGCTCAACAGGTGACACGGTGGTGGGTGAAGACAGGTCCTGCGGACAGGCTGACGTTGCTCCTCCCTGACAGCCTCCAGGGGCACAAACCATTAAGACTGGGGGCAGTTGGGGCTCATTTCCCATCAGCAAGAGAACACATGACCAACTCATTCCAGTTGTCGGGAACCTTGAGGCTTTGCATAATCTGTGCCAGCATTGTTTCTGACTCTCTACAGAAGTCATGACTGTCTAATACCCCATACACAGAAATAACAGAGGACTCTGAACTATGAATACTAGAAAGAACAACATTCACTGCCATCATAATATTTTCTAAAGGACTACTTTAGGGACTTCTTACTGTTTTTAAGAAAAACACATTTCTAGAGAAGAGATATTGAAAGCCAAGATCAAATGCTACCAAGTAAACAGACCACAATTCTGTTGAGTAGCCACTGTGAGTTTACAGGTTCTGAGGGAAGATAGGCCTGGTCTGGCTGACCTGATCCTCTAGGGGCTCAGCGAAGTGACACACCCCAAAGCTGCATGACCCTGCACACTGATGAGGAACGCCGTCTTGTGCCCATGAAACGTGTCCGGCAGGATGGGACTGCATGTTTTCATTTCAAGGAAATGTCCCAGAGTAGGAGAACTTACACTGATTCCAAAATGTTCAGTGACTCCTCGACCATGCTCCCCCAGAACTCCGAACGAAAGGCTTTCCTCCAGAAAGATTCTTGCTTTGTATTTGTATTTTAACTTAACCTAAGTGGTAAACAAAACACAACTTTAAAATACTGATGATTAGCACACTAGAGAATATATTGGGAAGAACAAACCTAAACCTAAAATAAAAAGGAAAAAAAAAAAAAGCATGTACAGTTGATCCTCAATACTGGTGGATTTGTATTTGTGCATCTGCCCACCTGCTAAAGTTTCTTTGTAATCAACACACAAGGCATAGTGTAGAGGGGCAAAATCCTTGCATATTCCCAGCTGAGTCTGACTACTGCTTCAGCTCATACTGTAAACAAGTGTCCTTCTTCAGGATTTCTTTATTACCATGTTTTTTGCATTTTGTGCTCTCTGCTGGCGATTTTGTTTAGGAGGGCCCCAAGCACAGCGTTGAAGTGCCGTCTAGCATTCTTAAGTGCCAGACAGCTACGATGTGTCTTAGAGAGGAAACAGTTGTGTTAGATCAGCTGCATTTCAGGCATGAGTTACAGTGCTGATGGCCCTGAGCTCAATGTGAATGAATCAACAATATGTGTTAAACCGAAGCACCTGGGTGGCTCAGTCAGTTAAGTGTCTGCCTTCGGCTCAGGTCATGATCCCAGGGTCCTGGGATGAAGCCCCATGTTGGGCTCCCTGTTCAGCGGGGAGCCTGCTTCTCCCTTTGCCCCTCCCCCTGCTTGTGCTCTCTCTCTCTCTCACAAATAAATAAAATCTTTAAAAAAATAATAATAGAAACAAAAAAACTCCCCAATATGTGTTAAATAAAATGTCTTTGAACAAAAAACACATAAAACAAGGTTAGGTACTGAGCGAATGATGAAAATGCTCTGACCAGAGGCTTGCAGAGAACAAACCACATTTGCCCTAAGAGCCATAGTTCAGTATTTACAGCCTGTATATAGAACATAACTATGTACATGCACTTTCTAGAACATAACAACAGGTGGCCCTTGAACAACACAGGTTTGAACTGCACAGGTCTGCTGAGACGTGGATTTTTTTCAATAAATACAGTCCAGCACTGTAAATGTATTTTTTCTTCCTTATGATTTTCTTAACATCTTCTTTTCTCTAGCTTACTTTAAGGATGTATAATACGTATGACCTACAAAACGTGTTAATCAGCTGTTTATGTTATGGATAGGGTTTCTAGTCAACAGGAGACTATTAGTAGTTAAGTTTTTGGGGAATCAAGAGTCATGTGGACTTTCAACTGCGTGGGGGTCAATGCCCCTAACCCCTGCATTGTTCAATGGTCAACGGTACCACGATGATGAAAAGAGGCTGTACTTTAGATGCTCTAAATTTAACTCAATAATATAGACAGCTCAATGCCAATTTTTAAAGATGGAAATATTAAGGTATGAATGATGACATGTAATCTATCTGTTAAATACTGATTATGCATAAAATTCCTGAGGAAATGTATATCATTCTTCCCTCAGTGGCACTGTGTTTTAATTTGAATTCATGGCATTTTTTTTTAATTCAGAAAAAGCTTTCATTAATATGCTTTTCAATCTGTTTTTCTCTTTGCTTTTGGTCTTATAAGAAAGTCTTTTCCCAGCAAAGGTTTAGATGTATATTTATCTTAGGTTCTTCTAATTATTTCATGTTACTTTTTTGTTTACACAGTGGGAAACTGAACATATGCAAGCCTGTATACAGCTTCCCCCCTCAATGTTTAATTGATTTATCCCTAAATGGTATGAACGTGATCAGTATCACAAGTCAATTAAAGTACAGTGATTATCAACCACTAAATTTAAATGGATTTTTATTAATAATGAATAAGCTAATTTGGGGAGAATTCTATCTTTTCAACACTGTTTGCCATCCATTCATATGTATGAAACATTATAGGAATGAGATATTTTTTAAAAATCATGTTTTAGAAAATTTTCAATAATATTATGACAGCACTGGTACACAGATAGACAATCAGTGAAACAAAACAGAAATCCCAAAGTCAAACCCTAATTTGTATTCTGTAATCTTTACAAACTCAATGCTACTCTATACTTGACCTGTTCCTTACACTTTATATTTTGTTTCATGGTTTGGCTGTATTATCTGTCCACCGGTACTGCTTTACTATCAGAGTCCTAAATATGCAATTCTGGTATCTTTTGGCCCACTATCACCCCCATGTGCTTCTATCAGTCTTTGACATGAAAATAAGAAGAGGAAAACAAATACATCTCTTTCAGTGATATTTGAGATGTATTTAGATTTCCTCAAGAAACAGTGAAAAACTTTAAAAACAAGATATGAAATCCTTATTCTGAATCTTCATTCAATTGATGAACTCACAGATTCAAGTTTCAGTGGCTGAATGCAAGGGTGGTTCAACATAGGAAAATCAACTATATTAATAGGATGAAGGAAAACACATGATCAACTCATCAACTGATACAGAAAAAGCATTTGACAAGATCCAAACCTCGCATGGTATAAACACTCAACATATTAGGATGGAGGGGGGAACCTCCTCAACCTGATGAAGGGCATTTAGGGAAAACACACAGCTAATATCATACTCAATGATGGCAGCCTGAAAAGCTTCTCCCTCTTGCCACTCCTAGTCAACACCGTACGGGAGGTTCTAGCCAGAACAATCAGGAAAGAAAAAGAAATAAAAGACATCCAAATTGGAAAGGAAGAAGTGAAACTATCTCTATTCATAAATTACAGGAGTTTATATATAGAATATTCAGTGATACAAGATTAAAACACAAAATCAGGGGTGCCTGCCTGGCTCAGTTGGTGGAGCATGCAACTGTTGATCTTGGGGGTTGTGAGTTTGAGCCCCCATGTTGGGTGTAGAGGTTACATTAAAAATAAAATCTTAAAAAAATAATAAAAAATAAAAAATAAGAAACCCCTCAAAATCAGTTGTATTTCTATAAACTAGCAGTTAACAACCCCTAAAACAAGTCCATTTATAACATCATCAAAAAGAATGAAATACTTAGGAATGAATTTAACCAAAGAGATGTCAGACCTGTACAGTGAAAACCACAAAACACTGCTGAAAGAAATTAAAGAAGATCTAAATAAATGGAAATACTTCTGTGTTCATGGATTCAGATTTAATATCATTAGATGGAAATACCTCCTAAAGCAATCTACAGATTCAATACAATCCTGATTCAATACAATCCCTATCCAAATTTCAATGGCTTTTTTTTTTTTTTTTACAGAAATAGAAAAGCTGATCCTAACCTTCAAATGGAATCTCCAGGGACCCCAAATAAGCAAAAACAATCTTAAAAAAGAACAAAGTTGGAGAACTCACATGTCTTGATTTCAAAATTTACTATAAAGCTACAGTAATTGAGATGGTACGATACTGGCATAAGGCTAGACATACAGACACATGGAACAGACTCGAGTCCTGAAATACAGCCCATCTCTCTATGGTCAATGGACTAGGACCATTCAGTGGAAAACAACAGTTTCTTCAACAAATGGTACGGGGACAACCTGAAACCACATGCAAAAGAATGAAACTGGACACATCCCTCATAGCACATACAAAAATTAAGTCAAATGGATCAGAGGGGGCACCTGGGTGGCTCAGTCGGTTAGGCGTCTGCCTTCAGCTCAGGTCATGATCTCAGGGTCCTGGGATGGAGCCCAGCATCAGGCTCTCTGCTCAGCGGGGAGTCTGCTTCTGCCTCTCACTCTCCCTCTGTGTTCTCTCTCTCTCTCAAATAAATAAATAAAATCTTAAAACAAACAAAAACCCAAAATGGATCAGATATCTAAAACAAAGCTAAAACTATAAAACTCTTAGAAGAAAACACAGTGGTATATCTTCATGACTCTGGATTCGACAACAAATTTCTTAGATATGACACCAAAAGCACAAGCAACAACAAAAAACTAGATAAATTAGACTTCATCAAAATTAAAATCTTCAGTGCATCAAAGGACACTAATCAAAGAAATGACAAAACAACCTACAGAATTGGAGAAAATATTTGCAAATCATGAATCTAGTGAGGGTCTAGAATCCAAAACATGTAAAGAACTTAACAAGAAAAACAACCCAATTTAAAAATGGGCAAAAGACTTCTAAAGACATTTCTTCAAAGATATACAAATAGCCAACAAATATAGGAAAAGAGGCTCAACATCATTAGTCTTTGGGGAAATGCAAATAAAAACCACGTGCTTCACACCTACCAGGGTGGCAGAAATTGAAAAAAACAACTGAGTGCTGGTGAGGCGGTGGAGAAACTGGAACCCTCCCCGCTGCTGGTGGGGATGTAAAATGGTGCAGCCACTGGGGAAAAGAGTCTGGCAGTTCCCCAGTAAGTTAAACACAGAATTACCATTCGATCCAGCAACTGTACGGCCAGGAATATACACAGAACTGAAAACAGGGATTCAAACAAAGACTTGTACACAAATGTTCATGGCAACTTACAACAACAAGCAGAAAGCGGAAACAATCCAAATCTCCATCAACAGATCAACAATGCAACACGTCCACACGAGGGACTATGGCTTGGCACTAAAAGGGAATGAAGGACTGATACATGCTACAAACTGGACGAACTACGAAAACATGGGAAGCAGAGGAAGCCAGATACAAAAGGTCACAGATGATACGATGCCATTTATCAGGAATATCCAGAATGGGTAAATCCATAGAGACAGAAAGCAGATGGGTGGTTGCTAGGGGCTATAGGCAGGGGAAAATGGGGAGTGACTGCTTAGTGGGCAGGGGTCTTATTGGGAGAAAACCAGATCGTTGATGGTTGTGTGACAGGGTGCCTCTGCCAAATGCCAGAACCGTACTCTCTAAAATGGCTAATTTTATCTTATGTGAACTTCACCTCCATGAAAAAGAAATCTCAACAGTCATGGTTTCTAAAAACAGTACATTGCTTTTCCTGTTAAAAAGCTGTTTTGGGGCACCTGGGTGGCTCAGCTGGTTAAGCATCTGCCTTTGGCTCGGGTCATAATCTCATGGTCCTCACATCGAGCCCCCCTTTCGGGCTCCTTGCTTCTCCCTTTCCCTCTGCCCCTCCCCATCACTTGTGCTTTCTTTTGTTCTCAAATAAAATAAAAATCTTTAAACAAAAAAACTGTACACTTAAAGTAAATGTGTTTTATTTGTATGTCAATTACACCTCAATATAGTTGGTTTTAAAAAGCTGGGCCTTGATTATTCTTTAAAGACCAGGGTCGGCATGTAATGTTAATTTACTTCCCTGATACAGTCACAATGTACTTACGGTACCTGTTGTGCAAAGCAATGCAGACGTTAGACATTAGAAGTGCACACAAAACAGACACTTCTCCAAAGAAGACATACAAATGGCTAACAGACGCATGAAAAAATGTTCATCATCATTAGCCACCAGGGAAATTCAAATCAAAACCACATTGAGATACCACCTTACACCAGTTAGAATGGCAAAAATTGACAAGGCAAGAAACAACAAATGTTGGAGAGCATGGTATAAACACTCAACATATTAGGATGGAGGGGGGAACCTCCTCAACCTGATGAAGGGCATTTAGGGAAAACACACAGCTAATATCATACTCAATGATGGCAGCCTGAAAAGCTTCTCCCTCTTGCCACTCCTAGTCAACACCGTACGGGAGGTTCTAGCCAGAACAATCAGGAAAGAAAAAGAAATAAAAGACATCCAAATTGGAAAGGAAGAAGTGAAACTATCTCTATTCATAAATTACAGGAGTTTATATATAGAATATTCAGTGATACAAGATTAAAACACAAAATCAGGGGTGCCTGCCTGGCTCAGTTGGTGGAGCATGCAACTGTTGATCTTGGGGGTTGTGAGTTTGAGCCCCCATGTTGGGTGTAGAGGTTACATTAAAAATAAAATCTTAAAAAAATAATAAAAAATAAAAAATAAGAAACCCCTCAAAATCAGTTGTATTTCTATAAACTAGCAGTTAACAACCCCTAAAACAAGTCCATTTATAACATCATCAAAAAGAATGAAATACTTAGGAATGAATTTAACCAAAGAGATGTCAGACCTGTACAGTGAAAACCACAAAACACTGCTGAAAGAAATTAAAGAAGATCTAAATAAATGGAAATACTTCTGTGTTCATGGATTCAGATTTAATATCATTAGATGGAAATACCTCCTAAAGCAATCTACAGATTCAATACAATCCT